GGGAGGAGAAGGGGAGAGGGGCAACTTTAAAAAAGGAGAACTATGGGGTCAGTGTTTTTCCCCATAGTTCTCCTTAGGGTAACGGGAGGACACAAACTAGCGTCCTCCCGTTACCCTAAGCTCAGTATACCGCGAGCTGCAGCTCGCGGTATACTGCGACGTCGCAGCAGATCCCGACGTAGATGACATGATCCGCCCAGCTGCGTGAGTGACAGCTGGCTCTGCCTATCTAGAGGCAGAGCCAGCTGTACCCGCCCCCTCCCCCGTCCGTTCCGCCAGTCAGCGCTGGCAGATCGGAGCGGGGAGAGGGGAATCCAGCCCCTCCCCCTGTCACGGCAGAGAGCCGTGACAGGATTGAGAGGTGAGCGAACCTGGTATGTGTTTGCTCACCTCCCGATCTACTGAGCCAACCTGTGACAGTCTCATTGTCACAGGTCGGCTAGAACTATGAGGTGAGTGGAAATCACTAATCTCATAGTTCCCCTTTAACTTTAATAAGATATGCGGAAATATAAAATATAAGGCTAGAATACTAGACAAGAAGTAAAGGATGCGGGCTTGTGGGGGACGGAGTGCTAGGGGTCTGCCATTCGGCCCTTACAACCTCATATCAGTCCACTTAACAGGACTTTCTTGCGTGGTATGTGTAGGAGGTTAAAGAAAATGTCCTACATGCAAGATTATAACAAAGGTATAAATGGAGATGAATGCTATGGTGAAAGTAATGAATGTAATATACAGGTCTTATGTGTATTGTATCTGGAGCAACAAGTAAAATGTAAATGAATAGGTTAACAGTGGTAACATTTAATGTGAGAGGATTCAATGTGCCAGAAAAACGATCCCAGGTTTCATATCACTTTCACAAGAAAAGAGTGGATATTTTATGTTTACCATAGACACATTTTAAAACAGGGGTAAATCCGGTTATTAAAAAATAGAAATTACACAACTTGGATTCAAATCCGGATAAGAAAGCAAAGGGGGTATCAATAGGGATCCACAAAAATGCACGATTAGATGTAAAAGACACAGTTATAGACGAAAAAGGGAGGATATATATTTTAGAAATTTTTCTACATGAATCCAATGTACTCACTTGCGAACATATATGCACCAAATAAGGGACAACACAAGTTTTGTATATGGGCACTCTCCAGATTTCAAAAATTTGGAGTGGGTTTAAGTATGGTAATGGGAGACATGAACTTAATACTGGACAATCAATTAGATACCACCGGGAAACCACACACAATAGGAGGGGCTTTAAAAACCCTAAAAACTAAAATGGATAATATGAGACTGGTGGATGGTTGGCGAATATTGAATCCCATGAAAAAAAAAATTGTACTTATCACTCTTTGGTACATAATTCATATAGCCGGATAGATCATGTCTGGATACACCAGAAGTTGTTGGATTGTGCCCCAGAGATTGAGATAGAATCGATTATGTGGTCGGAGCATGCATCGGTATGTTTGTCATTAAAAATTCGTATAGCAATATGGGAAATTGGAGATTGAATGATAACCTGCTAAAAAATATAGTATGTCAAGAGGA